AAAAAAAAAAAAGGAAGAAAGAAAAAGAAAAAAAAGAACCACCTTCCTTAGCATTCCAGGCCCAGACACCCAACAGAAAACCCTGACTGTCTGTTGATGGAAGGATGGATGCAAACAAGTGGGATAATTAAATGCCTCTCTGGGTGAGCCTTTCTGACGGTGTACAAGATCTGTGTGGAGTCATAACCTACACATGCATACATACTGGTTAGGTCATGGAGAAGGATGTGGCCCAAGACAAGCCCCCCTTCATCACTACTGATTCAGGGAAGAGTGAATTTGTTTGATGAAATTGATCAGCATCTTTTAACCCCTAATCTCAGAGGTCAGGGCTCAAGAATAGGCACATTACCCAGGCTCAGCCAGTTTTGTTCAGTTCTAACATTTGTGCATAAACCACCAAGGAAAAGGCTGTGTTTCCTAAGGACTAGTGAAATTTGAGACACAAATCTGGAACTGCCTACTGCCTGTTGACACAAGGGAGCAGACTCTCTGAGACTTGACAACATAAGTAACAGCAGAGCAGGAGAAGGAGAACCAAGGGTTGAGTCTTGGCTGCAAAAGTTGAGCCCCTAAGTGCTCTCTTTTCTGAGAATCCAGTAACATATAATCTCTGCATCTTCCAGAGTGCTGAGTATGGAAAGAAGTACAGAATAAATAACCTCAGAGCAATGTGGCCTTCTGGATTTTTCCACTAGAGGAGGCGCACAGCCTGGGGCTCATTCTCCACAAGAGGCACTTGCAGATGAGGTGTCAGTGCAAATGACACTCAGCTGAATGCACATTCCTCCTCCCTCCTTCCTTGCAGTCCTATCCTCTCATTGAAACACACATACAGGCAACAAAACCACCTGTCAAACATGCAGCCTAGACTGCTTGTGCAAAGGCTAGTGAAGGCAAGCTCAAGCTTCATCTCACTCTCTCTGTTTTTCCTTTATAGACAACTTAGATGGTTTTTTTTTTTTCAGTGAAAACCTTTGACATCCATTTATATGCTTGCTCAAAAGATGAAGACTTTGGACCTTAAGAACACAATAAAATCCTTCAGGGTCTCCCCAGCAACCTGAAACCACCAAGCTCAAGCCTTGTGATGGCAAGGCCTCCTTGAGATTAGCCCGACTCTGCTTGTGGTCACTGTGTTTCTGATATCCCATTTTTGTGACAGTCCACTGGTTTCTCAGTGCATTCAGAGTATATGGCACTACCAAGAGTAACAGGAAGGGCAGTGGTGGCTCTGCACATGACAGAGAAGGGCATGACAGACTGACACCAGTCTGCTGTGCACAGAACAGACTTAGGGTGGTGACAGAGGAAGCAGGGAGCCTGGTTGGGGGACATGCCACACTACAGGTGATACTGGCTTGATCCAGGTGGTGTGGGAGGCAGACCAATGCTCCCCACACCCACTGCAAAGAAGCCCATGCCTTAATCCTCAGGACCTGTGGTTATGTCATCATGTTATCCTGTATGGCAAAGGTGACTTTGCAGAAGTAATTCATGTTATGGACCCTAAGAAAGGGTGACTATCCAGGACCCTAGATTCTCTAGGTGGACCCATTGAATCACATGAACCCTTAAAAACAGAAAATTTTCTCCAGCTGAAAGCAGAAAAGAAGCCTCAAAGGGAGAATCAGAGATATTCCAGTGGCTCAGAGAGAACCCGAGGAGGGGTGGGGGTGGTAGAATAAATGGGGTGGGGAGAGTCAGAGAGATCACAGTGGGGTCTAAAGGATCCCAGGAAAGATCTGAAAGGGGAGGGAGGTATTCCCACCATGAGCAGGATTCCACACATTGTTGCTAACTCTGAGATTTGGGCCCAAGTTCCAGAATGAAGAGGCCTTCTGGAGCTAAGGGCAGCCCAGCTTACAACCAGCAAGGGATGGGGACTCAGTCTTAGAGCTGCAAGGAACTGGATCCTGGCAACAATCTGAGTGAGCTCAGAAGAAGACCCATCCCAGAGCTACCAGAAGGGAGCACAGCCTGCAGACACCTTAATCTTGGCTTCATGAGACTCTAAGCAGAGATCCATCTGAGCCACCCTTACCTGGAAGATAAGAAATATGAGATAATAAATCCCCTAAGTTTTTCTGTGTGT